CACTAAGATTCCCATAAGCCTCTCTATTTAGCTTTTTAAGGCTCTGCTTCACAACTTTCAGCTTTGCTTGTACTATCCACAACAGATTGCCAGTAAAAGGTGTGTCCCATGCTTGCTGCACTATTTCCAGAAATCTCGGATTTTCAGCCCAAAAATCAAAATATTTAAAAGGCTTTGGGAGACTCTTGATTGCTGGATCAGTATTAATTAAAATCCCCCCATGATCAGAAAAATTACCCATGATCACCTCCATGGTACAATTCGGGAAAGTCTCTATCCAATCAACATTAACTAATCCTCTATCCAACCTTCTTGCAATAGGATTTGCCTCCTGATTGTTAGTCCACGTAAAGAAAGGCCCTGTAGTTCCGTAATTCACTAATTCCATATCATTAATCCAGGCTGCAAATTCCTCCATACTCCCAGTCATATACTGCTGATTTGAAGTCTCCTCTGGCGTCAAGACAGTATTGAAATCACCACCCACTATCCAAGCCTGACCAGTCACCTTATATCTACTCACTTCAATATATGTGTCACGTCTTTCCATTTCATTATTCGAGGCATAGACAGCAGTGAAAAAACAAGAAGCACCCGAGCCACTTTGAACTAAACAATGCACGAAATTCTTACTCGGTTTTAGTGCTGTTAGCTTGCACTCCGGCGACCAAAATAACCAAATTCTGCCCAAATCAGAGTCCACATAATTCAAATGCTTCTCCCATCCATCAAAAATTCCCTCAACCTTCTCCTCTGCTTTGCCTTTATGCACTCTTGTTTCCAACACAACTACTACATCAACCTTATACTTCCTCAGGATTTTCACGAAATCCTGCCTTTTCGGGAGCTTATTAAACCCCCGAACATTCCAATAAAGGAAAATCATCAGGAAGCTAGGGCCTTAGCCCCCAACTTCTTACCATCTTTCCTAGGCGCTGCCTGTAACTTTACTACCTCAGCCTCATCAACATCACTTAGCACACTGAACGAAGATGGAGATATATGCAATACACTGTTCGGACTAGTCCTTGGTGACCAGATTCTCGGCCTTGCGCCATTAATCACTTGCTGAAAATCATCATCAGCTGGGAGGCTGGCAGAAGCAGCAGCAACTGCCAGAAATGATCTATCTAAATTACACCCCTTCACTCCTTTGATTTCTGTCCCACTCGAGTTAGCTGGTTGAAATGGTGTGTCGCAAATTGCAGCCAACTGGGGATCCTCAACTCCTGGCGTTAGTACTTCCTTTCCCTTACTATTAATCAGAGACACATCCTGAATGACTGAGTTCACATTCATCTCTTGCTCTGGGATAACCTCTGTAACTGGCTGAATCTTCTTCTTTACCCACATCTGCACATTGCCCTCCTTCTCACAGTCACAATTCTTACCAAATAATTTGCAATGCCCACAAACAGGAGGAAGAAAACAATACTCTATCCCCACCTTAATAGAACGATCATCATCCGGCCACAGCATAATATGATCTGGAAATATATCTCCAGCAGTTAATTCCACCAACACCTTCGCTAGCCCCAATCTCCCTCCCAATCTAGTCGTCTGATCCACGCCAAGCGGTACTCCAATCCAACTAGCAATCCTGCCCAGCCCTTCAGAATCAACATACTCCAGCGGAACATTCGACATTTTGACCCAAATCGGTAAAGCTTTCTTACCCACATCCTCCACACTAATGCCCGGCGTCCATGGCCTTAAGTAAAGTAGGTTATCAAAGTGAAACCATGGTCCATTCTCCAGAATCCACTCACAAGTATCTTGCGAAGGCAGCTGGATCAGCAATAGTCGATCACAGAGAAACGAGACCCGAACTTGTCCGTCACGACCCCACAGCTTATTCGCCCATCGACGCAGAACAAACATCGGAGGAGGCTTCTGCAGAACTGACCCACCAAACAATTCTTCCACCGAGCAGCCCCTGCCTCCCGAACAGACTTCGGCATTCGAAGACCGCCATTAACAACTTCTGGTGGGAAATAGCTCAGCCGATTGGCTTCGGAAATGCCAAACAATTTCGCCCAAGGTTTCGTGGGAACCTTATGATCGGTCGCCTCCGAAATCGGACGAGGAGTTGTTGAAAAGAGGCAAAGTCAACTCTAATTTATGATGAGAAAGTTGGAATAGGAAGCTGGAAGGGTAGCCACAAGCGTAAATTTATTAACTAAACTAGAAAGCAAGTTGAAAATTAACTTAAAGATAAACCTATGGAAGAAGCTACGGGGAAAGACGACATGCAACTCACTATCTAATTATTTGACTCAACCAACTTTTAAATCAATTTAATTCTCATTAAAATTACGAAGGTTATTACTAACATGAGTGTTATCTCTCTAAATACTCACTACGTTCTTAGTAGCTAATTAATTGTTTACTCTTGCACAATCAACTAATTAACTACCTAGTCTGAAGTCCGATAACTCCTGTATTTATACATTTTAATAACATTATGACTACAAAATTTTTGTAATGTAATAAGGTGTGTCGATTACAATGATCGAAGATGTGTCGGAGATCCTGTATTCGAATTTTTTATTCCGAAAAATATGGATCTCTCACAAAAATTCGTATTACACACCTCCCTCATATGTGGGTCCGCCCCCGGGTGGAAATGTTCCTCGAAAGAGATTTGAGTATTTTTTTGGTGACAGGAGAGATTCAGGTGACCGAATCTGATTGAATATTGATCGACGACCAGGTTCAGGTAGTGATCAGCGAATTCCAGCTACTCGTGACCAGATTCACAACATCCAAACGACTTCAGGCAGCCATGGGCCGAGTGCCACTGTACTGTGCCCGTAGCCGAGGCACGAGCGGGAGGAATACTTCAAAAACTGGTTTTTTACCAAGAGACAGATTTCAGCGGTCGACAACCAATTCCGATGACCAGGCACCACGTTCCGGTAGCTGGGATGGTGGCGGAGAATATACCGTCTTACCATTCGAAATCAATCCGATAAATTGCATATTCATACAAAAATTACATATACGATACCAAAATCTATGCCAGAAATTGTCTGCTGCATACCAGAAGTCGTCTAACTCAAGCCAAAAACCTCGTGCCAAAGAATCAACACCAGAAATCGTCGATAACAATCTACACTAGAAATTTGTCTACTGCATACCAAAAAACCCATTATCAGCAGATCATCTAATCTAATTCATACTAAATATCACCTAATGCCTACTGGGTAGTGGGTACCACAAACTTGAGAATCCACCCTAGTAACAAGAAATTCTTTCTTCTTATTAAAGAACAAGTAACATGTTACTATTACTTAGAGTCACATCATGCTAATGATTGGTTTTTCCCTTTTTGTTGTTGTCTTTTAGTTTGTTAGTGTGTTTTGTTTTTCTGTTATTGTTTTGTTCGTTTGCTCGCGTGCAGTGTTGCGTTGTTCTTTTTTTAAAAAGCGTATTATGTTTCTTACCGATCTTGAACTGTAGTTCTCGATTACTCTTTTTCTTTCTACCTTTTGTTTTGCTCTCTGACGGTTTTCTTGCTTTCTCGGTTGCGTTGTTATGTTGTTCTACCTTGTGTTTGAGACCGATCTTGAACTTTTGTTCTCGATACTATTACTTAGAGTCACATCATGCAAGTGCTTGGTTTGTTCCTTTTTGGTGTTGTCTTTTCGTTTGTTAGTGTGTTTTGCTTTTCTTTTATTTTTTTCGATTGCTCGCGTGAGTGTTGTGTTATTCTTTTTTGTTAAAGCGTGTTGTTTTCTGACCGATCTTCAATTGTTGGTCTCGATTACTCTTTTTCTTTCTACCTTCTGTTTTGCTCTCTACCTTTTTTTTTTGCTTTCTCGATTCTTATCTTCTTTTTTTGCTTCTGTTAATTCGCTTCCTTCTTTTGTTGCGCTCTTTGCCTGTTGTCCAACTTCGCTTCTCGCGCAACTGTTCCTTTGTTTTTGGATTGCTATTACTTTTTCCTTCGCCTTTTTTTGCTTTTGTTCCTTTACTCGCGCAGTTTGTTGCGCTTTGTATCTTTTTATACAGCACATTATGCTTCTTAGCAATCTGTAACTGTTGTTCTCGATTCCTCTTTTCCTTTCTACCTTTGGTTTTGCTCTCGTGCTCTTTTCTGCCTTTCTCGATTCTTATTTTTGTTTTGTTGCTACTTTTAATTCGATTCCTGTCTTTTGTTGCGTTCTTTGCCTGTTGTCCAACTTCGATTCTCGACAACTGTTGCTTTGTTTTTATATTGCTGTTGCTTTCCTCTTCGTCTTTTTTTTTTGTTCCTTTATTCGCGCTTTGTTGCGTTCTGTAGTTTTTTTTACAGCGGGTTCTTTTGTCACCGATTTGGGACTGCTATTGTCGAATCCTTTTTTGCTCTGTACCATTTTTTTGCGTTCTTTGGCTTTTGTACAGCTTCGATTTACGCGCAACTGTTCCTTCCTCTTTTTTCTTCCTTACCTTCATTTTGTATGAAACCTTCGCTTTTTTATATAGTTTTGCCTTCGTAACGTGTGCTTCGTTCGTTCTCTACCATTTTTTAGGACAAGTTGCGTGACAAACTTTAAAGGTTTTGGTGTTTGCTATGGATGGGCATAATTCTTTGTTCTTGTCATGATGGACTGTGTGCGGTTGGACAATTTTGTTGCAATTTATATTCCATGATTGTGCGAATATTACACGTTTGGTTAGGGAATTACTTAGTCTCCATGCGAATTGCGTTCAGTGAACGAGGATATGACCAAATACAATCTACAGTTTTGTTGGTGTTGCTGGTGTTGCCTTTAGCTTTATGGTTTATTAAACTAGACTGGACACAAAACAGTACGTCACCATGGGTAGGTTCTCAACTATTGGATTTCCTGACCTATTTGGATGTGGTTTCCGATGGGCTGTTCTCTCTTCTGACATACCCGCTTGTCCTTACGAAGTGAAATAATGGTCAGAGAAGTGCTGGTTTCCCCTTTACTTTATCAGTGGTGTATCGATCCCCGTTCCATCAGAGCTTGCTTTTCGCCTTTGCCCTTACCCTTTCACTTCGCCGCCGTTCCACCGCTTGCTCTGTTGGTTGCCATTTTGGTCTTTCTCATCAATCATTGCCCCTTCGCACTATCACATGTCTGCTCTTTGCCCAGGTTATTCGTCGACTTGCCTCTCCCTTCGCCACTTTAAGTCCAGTTTCTTACTACTCTCTCCAACAGTGTTTCCCCTTTCAGAGATTGCCGATGGTCGCCCATAAGCTTTTACTTGATCTCAAGGATACAGATGGTTTGCAGACTGCTTTGAAGCTTCGTCTGCTGCATGCGTGGGGCTCTTACGGTTTGAAGAACCCTGCTCTTATCTACAATTACTGCACACTTTGGACTGATGAGGAGGTCTGTCTACTGTTCTCCCCCTTCCTTTGTGTTGCTTCCCTCTGTTCTCTTTTGCCTCCTCCTGACATTAATCCTCTTTTTTATCCAGGGTACTTTGATCCAGGGGCTCGCTCCTGCTAGTCTTATGCAGCATTTTGCGCCTATCCTGCAGCTTGGAGCTGTCTACATGATCAGCAACTTTACTGTCCAGCCACAGTCTCCGGTTTATCGCCCCTGCTCTCATCACCTTAGTATTCTCCTCTCACCTAACACTATGTTCGAAGATCTTACGGCTGAATCGCCTGATTTCTGGGATGATTCGTTTGAATTTGCTTCGTTTGCCTCTTTGCACTCACGAATTCGATCGTCTGTCAACCTTACAGGTATGTGTGCAGTATTAGTCCTCTTTCCTTACATGTTTTATAGGTGCCTGTTTGAGTTTTTGTTGCCTTTGGTTCCTATTTCTGGTAGATGTTGTTGGCGTTGTTGTCAGCGTGACTGGTGTTTCCAACTCCGTTACTTCTTTTGGCGAAACTGTGCGTCGGGAAGTGGTTCTTCAGAATGAAAGGTTTGTGCCTTATTGATCGTCTATGCTTTCTCTGTTTGCCTTTTCTTCTTTTAACTGTTTTTTTGGTTTTCTTCTTTTAACTTTTTTTTACCAAAAAATTATCGACCTTCTCGCAGTCACATGCTTCTTGATATTACTCTGTGGGGTGAAATTGCTCGGTCTGTGGATGGTGAGGAATTGGCTCACATTGGTCATGCTGGATCGGTGGTGCTTGGTGTTTGTGCCCTGCGGGTCACTGGCGCCACTAAGGGTTACCTTCGATTGTACTTTTGCTCTTTCCTGAATTCTCCTTTTGGGCTGTCGTTTGCTTATCGTTGTTTTCCCCTCTATTCGTCACAGGAGGTTTCTCTTTATTCAGCACACCCGGAACACGCTGTGTGCTCGAACCAGTGTGTGAACAGACCCATGTGCTCCATTCTGCGTAGGTTTATGCTGATTGCCATGTTATTTTTACCCCCTGCCTTTTTTTTAACCTTAATTGTTGGCCTTGTAGGTTCTTTGCTGGTACCAACACAGTTCAGTACTATCCTCCTCGGTTTTCAACCCCAGGCGAAGCAATTGCATTCAAGGAAAGCTGTACGAAAAGTGTATCGGAACTCCTTGAACTTTGCAGCCCAACGGTCGGTGATGTACGTTCTTAACTGTCTTCTTCTTTCCTCATCTGACCATGTGATTTACATAGTTTTAGCTGCACATCTTCTTCCTACAATTGCTGTTTGGGATTTACGTACATGCTATTTTTCACTAACCAGATTTTACCCCTTTTCTTAAGGCTACGCGCTATCATTGTGCTGATGAAATCATATCCATAGAGTCTGAGCGTCCGTGGTACTACTTAGGGTGCTCATCGTGTTCCAAGGCTGCTAAACCTTATGAAATGCCTGACTATTGGTGCGAAGACCATCGTCGTATACCACCTGAACAAACACAGAATTGGTTTGTGTTCTTCCTCTTGCTTTTCTATTGCCAACAGCCTCACTTAACTCTTTTTTTGCCGCACTGTGATGTAGCTATAAAGTTCGCATGATTGTGGAGGATACTACTGCTACTGGTACCTTTGTTCTGCTTGGTAAATCGCATGATGCTCTTTTGGGGGGCTCGGCTCCTGAACTTTCTGCACGCTTTCCTCACCAACGTGGCCATCTGCCACCTGAACTTTTGGCTCTTGAAGGGAGGCGGTTTGTCTTTGATGTCCAGCTTCCAAAACCAATGTATTTCGGACGGGGCCCGCCTGAATTTACAGTCCTCTCTGTCGTAGAACAGAATCAGCCTCCAGTGCCTCGCCCTTAGCAACGTCTGACACCGAGTGCATCTGTTTCGACAACCCCACCTCGGTATACCTAATTTGTTCTCGCCTGTTTTCTTTTGTCCGCTTTACTGCTCCTAATGTTGTTTCGGTGTGGTTTTACAGGTCCGTCAATACTGTTTCCACTTCCCATTCCTCGCCCAGCCATGCACTGTCTCCTCCACTTGCACCACAACGGCCATTGCCCGCCTCACCTTCCGTTGCTTCTGCAAGGTGTTTTGCCTGTCTTTGCATCTGTGGCCCTCATCTGCTCCCGGTTTCTATCGATCCTGCTTATTAAGTTGTCCTTTTTAAACAGCGGATCTGTCTCTGGGTTTGCATCACCGGTGCATGGGCCAAGAACAAGGTTCCCGTTCTTACTCTCTGTGGTTTCTTTCCTGATTAATTTGCGAAGTTACTTTCAGATGCTCCTTTGTTTCTTTTTCTTTTGGAATGACAGGTTCTTACTTGTGTCTCTCCTCTCTCTCTCAATTTAGAAATGTTATGTTAGCTCCTTCTCCGTCACATGCAACGTATTCCAACATTTCCTATGCAAGGTATAATTCACTTTTTCTTGTCCATTGTTGTCCATACTTTCTACATATCTGCCCTGCCTGTTCTTTTCCCTCCAATCCTTGCCTTATTGTTTATTGGTTTATCACGCCATGTACGTTCTGGAATTTGTGTATCTTATCATACCAACGTATGCTTCGAATACCTTTAGTTTTGTTAGTTTACTGGTGTTCTGCAGTGTAGTGCCCGAACGGGGACACTCGAATACCTTCTTTAGTATGTTTGCCGCATTAGCATTGTGCGGTGCCTGTCTTGGTTCCTTCATTAGGTTATCTTCGCACCATTCCACTCCATACCTGCCGTTGGTTGTCGCTTTCCGAATTCTTGCCGTTTCGATTGTTCGCTTTTATTACAAATTTTGATTTTCCTCGTGTCATCTGATTCGTTCCTTTTCTTTGCCGTGCTGTCTTCCTTAATTAAATCTCCTGCACCACGATCAGCAGCACTTTAACTGTCTCTGTGTGGTCAACTATACTGTAGTTTCCTTGCTGGTTGCAGGTGGGTCTGACATGAGCCTTCATGTTTGACCCGGTTTCTTTTATGTAACCATCTGCTTATCACATTCTTTCTTTTTTTGCCTCTTGCTTGTCCTGTTTCATGTTAGACGTTCCTTATCTACATTTTACGCAATATTTTTACCCATTGTTTAGGCCAAGAGATGCGTTTGTGCCTTGTCCTCCTGCTTCACAGTCCCCAGATAGGTACCTCTTTGTTTCTTTTCGCATCACATTGCCTCTTTGTATTTTCTTAGATCATGGATGTTGTTACTGCACCTCATGTTTGCATGCCCTTCTTTACAGGCCTACTGGAGTTTCGCAGACTCCTGTCTGCTCAACAAAGAGCGATCGAAAGCGCTCAAGAAAAACAACTCCGCGCAAAGCTGAAGCTAAATCAAGGTTTTTAGTCATTCCACACTTTTTCCCTGTTCTCTTTGCTTACTATTTTACGTGCTTCTTGTTAAAACTAACAGGTCCTGCCAAAATACACCTTGTCCTATTGTACATGGTCATTTAACTTTTTCTTTCGCATTACATTTCCTCTTTGTTGTTTTTTTAGAGCATGAACATTGTTACTGCAGCGTCATGTTTGCTTGTCTGCTTTACAGGCCTGATGAAGTTTCGCAAGCTCCTGTCTGCTCACCAAAGAGCGATCGGAAGCGGTCAAGGAAAACAACTCCACGCAAAGCCGAGCCTAAATCAAGGTTTTTGGGTCATTGCACACCTCTTCTCTGTTCTCTTTGCTTACTATTTTACGTGTTCCTTACTAAAACGAACAAATCCTGACAGGATGCACTTCGTGCTGTTGTGCACGGTCCTTTAACTTAGTCTGATTGCTTTAACTTTTCCTTCTTTTATTTCCGCTGGATGCACCTGCCCTCGCATTTCAGTTATAGGTTTTGTCCTCTTTTGCAATCGAGTTCTTTTATAAATGATCTTTCAATTCGTATTTTTTATTTTATTCAGAGAGCGTTGTCATTCGTCAGAATCCGATGAGGTCCATCCATTTCATGCTGTTCGGAAGACTGCAAACCGTCCTGCCTGTTCGAGGGACATTGAATTTAGCCCCGTTCAATAGTATGTTTTTTAAAATGTTGTTTTGGGTGCGTGATTGTTTTCTTTTCTTAACCTGTTTACTTATATTGCTTTCTTTGGTTTGCTAGAGAAAGCTCGCCGAACCGGGCTCATTCGATTAGACGCCGACGGTTGGTTACTCATTCAGGTCCAGTTGGTGCTCCTGCTGGTCCTGATGTCAACATTGACGACACTGGTGAACTGGATGATCCAGTTTCGGATCAGGATGGATCGCCAGGTCATGAGAATTTTGTCTCTGCTTCGCTTGATGAACCTCATCTTGATGCTTTGGATACCCAGCCTTCCATTACCGAAGCTTCCACTCCATCCAGAGCACAGCGTGTTCGCACACCGTCGCGCAAGGCCATTGAGTCATCGGCGCAGGAATCTGACAAAAAAAATAACACCCCAAAGTCTTCGCGCAAGGAACGTGCCAAGAAGCAGCTTTTCACCAATTAGCCTTCGCTTTCGTCGTTCGATGTTACCCACCTTCTGCTACTTAAATTGTACCTGATTCCTGGAATACTTTAGCTGCCTTGCTTGAATGCTGGTTCTTCATTTTGGTTTTGCGCTGGTCTCTGCTACTGTTGTACCTGCTTTTGCTGTCCCTTACTTTGTGGAAAGCCTGACAAGGTTTTCTAACTGACTCATCTTGTGCCTGACCAGGGATTATGCCGCCGTTTATGTTATGTCATGGACATGCTTGACTGTCAATGTTATGGAGATTTCTTTCGTTTAGCTTTTCGCTTCTGTTAAGTTTCTTTGGAACTTATCTTCTATTCATATTCTTTTCTGTCATTTGCCACGTAGGATTCCGTTCGTTATTACAAACATTCTTTGTTAGTGCCAGATTATTTGCAGCCTTCATCTGATGAATGAGACACATTGTGCTCAATCGTTCTCTCGGTAAATTCGATTTCGTTCCTTTTTATCCCTTTTGCTTTCCCAAATTTCTTAGTGGCCATCGTTCCTTTTTGCCACTGTCAAAGGATTATTTATTTGTGGAGAGAGAATATAGGAAATCATTCCCGTTTATTTGTGCGGAACTCAAATATGCTATCTTTGGTTGTATTTGACAACGTGCAGGTCAGCTGTGCAGATAGAATCCAGGAATTGCATCTTTATTTCCTGCTATACAATTATTTATTGACGAATTCCACCGGTTTCTTCTGAAAATGGAATGTGCACCTTTTCTGTTCAGCTAGCTTAATTAAGTCCTAATTTTTGTAACATTTGTTTTTTGATATGGCATCTTGTATTTAATGCTCTGACCATTATTTGTATATCTGTCATTTCCTTATGTCAGGTGATAATTCTTAACTGACACCCTTGATTAAATTATTGCTATTCTGTTAAATATCTTTCACTTAAGTCCATCCTATTCATCTTCTTCTTCCATTACTGCTCCTGTCATTTCTATATAGCAGTTTTAGCTACTCCTGCATTTATGTATGCTCTGTTCGGTGTGTTGTTGTATTATCCCATTCTGTGCGTGACATTGAGTTTTAGTATCTGATTTGCTGTCAGAGAATTTCTTGCATGGTTGCCTATTTACAAAATGGTGAGACTTATTGCTACGTATAAATGCTACTATTCTGTTATATATATGGACGCCTTCCTTGCTTCTTCATCGTTTCCATACATTCATGTCTTCTGTTCTTCTTTTGCTTACAGGCCTCAGCCAGTCAGTGTACAAACCTTATTCCCGGTTACAGTGCTGCTCGAAAACGTCGCCGTGTGCTGTTGTCTCCTGAATCTGTGCCAGGAACACCACCTATGTCGAACATCTGGTTTTGACAGGCGTACTCGCTTGTTCCCAATGATCAATTCACCGGCTGGTGTGTGTTCTTCTCGACCAGACTTACATTCTTTTGACTCTCCTCTTGGTTCGCCAAGATCTCCACCTGCTGGTCTTTACCTTGACATGCAAGCATCAGAAGAATAAAAGGTACTTGGACTCCTCCTTCCCGCCAACATGATTATGTCAGAATTCTTGAACATGGTCTTCCGGATCATGAATGCCAGTTTTGTGGTGCCCGCTTCTGGTACGAAGAACGTCTTAATAGGCATCGTTCAACTACTCCTGTTTACACATTATGTTGCCAAAAGGGACGTGTACGGTTGCCTTTCCTTCAAGAAACTCCACCGTATCTAGAACAGCTTCTTGGTATCAATGGTGGTCCTATGGCTGTGCACTTCAGAGAACATATACGGTCCTACAATGCAGCCTTTTCCTTTACATCGTTTGGTGCTCGACTTGATCCTCGGGCATCACGGACACGAGGACCATACTCATTTATTATTTGTGGTGAGAATTACCACCGTATGGGCTCTTTGTTGCCTGTTGCTGGCCGCAAACCAAAGTATTCGCAGCTGTATGTTTTTGATCCTCAGACTGAACTTTCCGATCGCCTCACTACTTTTTCCTCGGCAGAAACTTGCTTGCAGCCAGAGATAGTTGCAGGACTCATGAAGCTATTTGATGTAACAAATGATTTGGTCAGGTCTTTCCGAAGAATTCGAACTCAGTTGTCAGATTCTGCTTCTGCAAATCTCCGCTTGCGAATTGTGGGTGCAAGAAACATAGATTCTCGCCAGTATGAGCTCCCCACAGGAAATGAACTAGCAGGATTGATTCCTGGGGACTTTCTGCCTGACAAGGAAGAACGTGATATTATTATTGATCATAGATCAGAAGGTCTTAAAAGAATAACGAGTCTTAACCCAAAGTTTGATTCCTTACATTTCCCTGTGCTCTTCCCATATGGTGAAGATGGGTTCCATGTTAACATACCGTATGATGTCGTTCATACTCCACCAACTCTTAAACGCAAATTTGTTACTCAACGTGAATACTATGCTTTTCGACTGCAGCATAGAGATGATGAAGGCCAGACTTTAATGCGTGGTGGGAAAGCTCTACAACATTATGTAGTCGATGCATTTTCGACTATTGAACAGGATCGACTTTATTATTTACGATCTCATCAAGAGGATCTTAGATCTGAATTGTACTATGGTCTTACTGATGCTTTTGATAGGGGTGATGTCACAGGGGATGATATTGGTAATGTTATTTTGCCTTCGTCGTATACCGGCAGCCCTAGGTATATGAAACAGTTGTATTTAGATGCAATGGCTGTTGTTCATCATCATGGCAGTCCGGATCTTTTCATCACCTTCACATGCAATTCTCAATGGCCTGAGATTACAGAATCGTTTCGTCAGCTTTGTGGGTCGCGAAGCGAGCTCAAACCCGAAATTGTTGCCAGGGTTTTCCGTATGAAGCTTAATGCTTTAGAAGATGAACTGAATCGATCACATTTCTTTGGAAAAACTGTTGCGGGTATGTTTTGCTGTTGTCCTGTGTTCGCTACATTTGGATTCCTTCTTGAATTAGTATGAATCAAATTTATCGCTACTTTCTGTTTGGATGTTCTGTTAGTTTTCGCGCTTTGATTTTCTTGCATGCCCTTCTGCCTAATTTGTGTGCAGGAATCAAGACAGTTGAGTTCCAGAAAAGAGGCCTGCCTCATGTCCATATATTATTGTGGTTGGATGAGAAAAGCAAGCTCAAAACACAAACTGATATAGATGCCACTGTGTGTGCTGAGTTACCCGATCCAGAACTTGATCCCGTTGGTTATGCAGCAGTTACAAAGTACAAGCTCCATGGTCCCTGTGGTGACGATAAACCAACTAATGTGTGTATGAAAGATGGCAGATGTTCAAAGTATTTTCCAAAACTGTTCAATTCAGAAACTACCACAGACCAGTTTAGTTATACAGTGTACAGGCGTCGTGACTCAGGGATTACAGCCTCTAAAGGCAGTGTGGAGCTTGACAACAGATTCGTCGTTCCATATAATAGGAATCTTCTTGTGCTTTTTCAGGCACACATCAACGTTGAGGTGTGTCATCAAGGACGCCTTATTAAGTACCTCTTCAAATACATAACAAAAGGGCCAGATCGGTCAATTGTGGTGGCAGAAAATTCGACACCACCTGTCGCTGAAGGTTCCGCACCACCTGCTAATATTTCACTTGGACCACAACCGGTGCCTCCTGTTGATGAAATTAAACGCTACTTAGATTGCATGAGTCTATCTTCATACGAGGCAGCATGGCGTCTTTTTGAGTTCCCTATTCATGAAAGAACACCTACAGTACAACGGTTGTGTGTCCATCTTGAAGGCAGGCATAGTGTTCCTTATAGAAAGAAGCAGAAGCTTTCTCATATACTGGCACGTGCAGCTGTTGTAGAGACGACTCTAACACAATGGTTTGCTCTTAATCAAACAGATGAAGATGCGAGGTGTTTGCTTTATGCTCAGACTCCAAATAAGTATATGTGGAACCTTAAGAAGAAAATGTGGTCTAAACGGAAGAGAGGTTTCGCAGTAGGCAGGATTGTTTATATTAATCCTGGTTCCGGAGATACTTTTTATCTTAGGCAGCTTCTCACCAAGGTTCGTGGTGCAGTTAGCTTTGCTGATTTGCGGACAATTAATGGTTTCCCATGTCGAACGTACCAAGCTGCTTGCCAGCGTCTTGGTTTGCTTTCTAATGACCATGAATGGTTGCTTGTTCTTAAAGAAGTCAATCAATGGGGTATGTCTGGTCTCCTCAGGTATCTCTTTGTGTCCATGCTCATGTTCTGTGAGCTTGCTGATCCACTGACTCTCTTTAACCAAACATGGGAGATGCTTTCAGAAGACATTACATATCGCTGTCAGCGCAATGTAAACTTTAACAATCATCTTATCCCCCCTAATCTGCCAAAGAATTCTTTGTTGTGTGAATTGCAGCGTATGTTGGCTGCTTATTCCACAACGCTTTCGCATTTCAATCTCCCACTGCCTACAGTCCAAATTCTACCTGACATTGACCACATGTATTCTGACTTTCACATGCAGCATTCTGCTTCTTCAGAATCTGCTTCTTCACTTCCCTGTTTGTCCAGCCTGAATGAAAAGCAGACAGCTGCATTCCATTCGGTGATTGACTCTGTAATCTCACCTGTGCCAAATGCTGGAAATTTCTACTTTCTTTATGGACATGGAGGAACTGGGAAAACTTTCCTGTATAAGACGATTCTTGCACATCTTAAGGAACTTGGCAAGATTGTCCTTGTGGTGGCTTCTTCTGGTATTGCTGCAACTCTCCTTCCAGATGCATCCACAGCACATTCTCGATTTAAGATACCATTGGAAATTGATCAGGCTTCTTCATGCAACATAAAGAAGGGTACGCCACTTGCTCAGCTAATACTCGATGCAGCTCTTATTATATGGGATGAAGCCCTGATAGACCGATAATTATACATGTTTTCACCCCTTTTCTAAAGCCGTTTGTGATGAGGAATCTCGTGTTTTAAGCCGATTTCACGCTAGGTTGTGTGTTTATGTCATATTTCAGGTCCCGGCGTTGGAATCGAGGCGGAGAAACGAGTTCTGGGTCGAAAAGAGCAAAGTTGGGACAAAGCGGGCTGTAGGAGGAAAATACCCGGTCAGGTGGCCAAATACCCGACCGGGTATTCATCACTTCTGGGCGCCCGAGAAGCAGAGAGGGGCCCGGGCACAACAGCAAAATCCCCGGTCGGGGATTATGGCGAGTGACCGGGGATTTCTCCTTTGACTGAAATGGTGCGCTGCGATAATACCCGGTCGAAACCCAAGATACCCGACCGGGTATTTCGACCGGGTATCGCGACCAGGCAGCTGATATAAGGAAGAAGAAGGCCAACATTGAAGGGTAACGAGTTTTTGAGAGAGAAAGCGATACCTAGAGAGAGAAAGCGACGAACCAGAGTTCCCAAGCGCCATAGATCGATCTTCAACACCATTGGAGCCCGGTTTGAGCTTGGAGAAGTGCGATTAAACGTCCAGGAGCAGAAATCCAACTTCACAGTATGATTTCCGCGTCTGAATATGCTTTTGCTTCTTTCTCTATGGAGTAGTTTCCCCATTCATCTGGGTATGGGGAACCCTAGATTTGTATGCTAGGTCTGATTGTATGAACCCAAGTGCAGAGTTTGTGAATTGATTATATTCGATTGAGGTTTGAATGATTGAATGACTTGAATCCTGATCAAATTCCTGTTGTTTCTGCTTTAACTTAGAATGAGAATATCTGCCTAGGTTGATAGAGTATCCTTGATCGAAGGTGGCGAATTGGTGACTTTAGTCGAGGAGCCAATTCGCTATTCTGTACCGAAGTCAATTCGGTAGTGGAGGTTTGGTTCATTAGGGCCTCAATCTGTTTACTCCGGTGGAGGTTAGTCGCCCGCTAGAGACTCAGATTGAGAGGGTCTGGAGACCTTTAGTCGAGACTTCAGGCTAATTGAAAACCTTCCGCAGTATAACTTTCATGAAAACTGAACTTGGTAAATGGCAATCCCACTTAACTGCAGTCTAGGGGGAACCATATCCGGGTGACCTCTCTTGACTTGACAACAAACCGTTTACTTGCTTTGTGTTTTGTTTGCTTGAGTTGCACTAAAAGTTCACCGCTAAATAACAAGAATTCACCGAGTAGTCATCACATCTAGGACCCGGGTTGATAATAAAACCCAAACCCGCTATACTACGCTTTAGGAAGTGGTTACACTTGGCCATTTTCTTGAGTGACAGTAGGAGTGAGTCAAGCCCCAATGGTACATCAACTATCATTTGAAGCAGTTGATCGTGCTCTTTGTGATGTCATGAATTTACCTTTTACTGGGGTTCATTACAGGCCATTTGGAGGGAAAGTCGTACTATTAGGGGGTGACTTTCGGCAGACACTTCCGATTGTTGCTGATGCTGGGAGATAGGAAAGTGTTGATGCATCTTTGACCTGCTCTTATCTATAGACTACCTGTACTGTTCTACAGCTAACAGAGAACATGCGCATTACAACTTCTGCTGGAAATGAATCCATGACATTTAATGGAATGGACTTCACAAGATGGACTCTTTCAGTAGGTAATGGAGCACTACCAGGGAAATGTTTTTACCAAAATCAGTCGGCTGATTGGATTGAAATCCCAAAACAGTTGCTGATTTCGGCAACCGAGGCACCCATTCAGACAATGGCTTCTGAGATTTACACTGATTTTGCAGCTCGGTTTCACAGTGCTGCATACCTAACTGAGCGCTCCATAATTACACCTACCAATCGGAATGTGACAGAGATTAATTCTCATATGCTTGCATTAGTTCCAGGTCAGCAACGTGCCTATTTCAGTAGCGACACTTTACATACTGACGCAGTCGATCCATCTTGGCTTGAGGCAGAATATCCCACCGAATTTCTGAATGGTTTGTCTTTCAATGGATGTCCTGAGCATCAAATTGACTTGAAGGTGTTCACGCCGATCATGCTACTGAGAAACTTGAATCCAGAAATAGGATTATGCAACGGAACCCGCCTTATGGTTGTTTATCTTTGTCATTATGTGATCAAGGGAGTTATTATGGGTGGAACATTCAACGGCAAGACTGTTGCGATCCCAAGGATTGTTCTGAATATCAATGACCGGCGTTGGCCATTTATTCTTAAGCGGCGTCAGTTTCCTGTCAGACTTTGCTATGCCATGACGATAAACAAGAGTCAAGGCCAAACACTAATTAGTGTTGGTGTGTACCTTCCCAAACCTGTTTTTAGTCATGGGCAGTTGTACGTGGCTGTATCTCGAGTTAGATCAGCTGATGGCCTACGATTCCTTATTGTTAACGAAGAAGACATTCCAGCCAATTACACTCGCAATATCGTTTACGAAGAAGCATTTGCAGATCTACAGCTTCCTGGTCATTTTGACCTGAACTTTCCTTACAGGTTTGTTATTGAATCACCACAATTAGATTCTTTCAGTCAATCAGCTGGCTTGTGTTCGGTATGACCAATTTCTATCTTACCACGTAGCCCTCGCCACCTTGTTTCTTCAAACCCCGGAATAGGCTGCTGATGCTGCCTTTGTGTTGGGATAAAGATTGTAGCAATATGCGGTAACTAAACTCCTATACATGGTTGTAGAAGTTTTATGCGTTTTTATACTTGACAATTTCTTTCTCCTAATTTTGTTTTTGTTTTCAGGAAAGGTTATTGTTCTTTTGCAATGTTCATGATGGTTCTCAGTCGATCTACTTTGGGCCACTCTTTCCAAGACAGTTGGTTCCTTTGTTTCCAAGACTGTTTGCATGAAACATTCGGTGTTCTCATTGATGTAATTGGAGATGATGTCCTCACCTTATCAACTTAACCTGTGTCGATCTTTTGCTTGGTTACGACAGTTTATGAATGTCCTTCCACTCATCGGCTGCATATTGTGTCTAATTTTTCTTATCTGCAAGAAAACTGTACAGTTATGACCAAGCAGGCAACAAAAGTTTCATGTTGCTGTTTTTCCTCTCTTGCTATAGACCAGTACCTAACTGATGCTTACATATATGTTTTATTCCATAGTGGCCAAAGTGTTTTGGTTAGATATGCTCCCCCACATATGGCTTTGGAAAAAACATTTATAACAACCTTAGAACGCCAGGGACCAGTTGTGTATGCAATTACAGCATTGCGTGTGCTTCGCTTTAAAGGTTCATTTTATACCCGTTGTTTGGTTTTCTTGTCTTTATGTACTTTCCTCTTATTTCGTGCCTCTGAGTCATTCCCAACAGGAACTGGTGAGTTCTGCTTGATTACAACAAAGGCATCCAGATTCATCGTGGCCTACTACACAAGGCCATTTAAACAGATAAAGGATAGGTGAAGTATACGTGTGCTCTTTCCACCAATTAGTGTACATGTATCGGTTAGAACTTACACGCTAATTATCTGCAGCTTCTCACATGTGCACCGTCCTGTTCAACTTGGACATAATCCAGTTCCAGTTCCAAAATATGTACGAACCAACATGCCAATGAAAACAACAATCGTGCACCTCTTAGCCACGCTGGAGGACTTGTGCAGGCCATATAATGTATACTTTATACACATTTTCAACTCTTTCTAGACACTTGATGCACACTACTGACATTCTTATGTTTATTGCTTGCACAAGATATCTGTCTGGTGCTTGATTAGGATTAAACACATCAATAGGAACCAAAGATTCTATCATTGTGACCTTTATGACGATGATCCATATTCAACAACTTATTCATACAGGTATATATAAAAAACATTGTCACGACAATACTATGTTTTTGTTGGTGATTTCCTTCTTATGCACTTTCCTTGGTTTCAGGTTTAACGTCTCTTGTGAAGATATTTCATGTCGAGGTACAACAAAAACATACAATATTCTCTTTGGCCATTACGCAGCAATTGCCCTTTTGCAAAATACCGCTGAAGCTTTTGCCAATATGACCAAGGAAACGATTGCTGACATTTTGGATCCTCTAGAAGGGAAGCTTTTCGCAGTGGAGATTGTTCCATATTATGAGGCAGATTACTTCACCAACATACTTAAAGTCGTCACTATATGGGATCCATTGGCTTATGCAATCATAACTTAGCTTCCAATGTCTATTCGGGGTGTTAGATGTCTATTTTGCTGTTGCTCAAAACTCAGTAGGAGCTATTGTTATCGCTGTTGTATGTTTTCCTGATTTTATCTTGCACAATACAATTTCCTAATGTTTTATGATAACAGTATCGTCGTTTTTGTTGTACAAAAGGAAAGAAAAAATATCGTCTTCTTTGTATGCGTCCTCATTATTCTGATTGGGCAAGGCCCGAAAAAATAGAGTGGGCCTGCATACAAGGATTATGGAAAAGTGTTTGGCCTTAGGTTTTCAGACTATTAGGCCTGCACATGAAAAAAACATATGGGCCCATAAAACACAACTCCATTAATTATGCGAACCAACTGCATGAAATGGACCATGCCACAAATGTCACTCCTTTAATAACCAGTTAGCCCTCCCCAAGAAATCTGCTCAGTCCTTCCCTTTAGGGTTTCTTCCTCACCGTGCTGCTCATCGGTCAAAGAACCAACTGGCGGAACAAGCTCCAATCATGAATCCGACAGAAGAAATCCACTGCTTGCGCCTTGGTTATGTAGAACACACAATTCAGGTCCGTTATTTGCACACATGGCGAGAAGAAGCAACAAAAGATATCGAAGTTAATCATCTTCTGCTCGACAAAAAGGTTTTCCTTCGCCATTTTTTTTATTGATATGCTCTGTTCTTCTTCGTTTAATTGAGGATGCTTCTAACTCATGAGGTACGATAGGGAACAATGATCGTTGCCACAGCAGATCAGACAACACGACAACCGGAACTATTACATCTCAGAGCCGGCGATATTTACAACATTTCCTCCTTCTTTGTCAATC